AACCCAAATCTAAGCAGGCAGCTGCTGCATCCCTGTCCCACAGAAAGCAAAGGAACAGTCAGAGGCAGCTGGACACCCCACCAGCACTGGCCTACAAAGCCTCTGCTCAACCTCCCACTGACAGAAATTATGTTTGCCAAATAGTATTCACATCACTACAGTGCTGCAGCGGCTGCATGAAATAGCTCCAGTTCAAGCACTGAATTTCAAGTGGCAGTAACCTACATTCAGCTCAAGATCTGCAGTTTAGCCACCTATTTCATCTTACAATTTACAAAGCTTCCACTTGGGCTGATTGCCTGTACTTACCTTTACAATTCATGTGGTGAAATAATTTTGAACAATCAGGCTGAAGTACTACATGCTGGGATATAAGACAGCTGCCAAGTGAAGATTTGAAATTCTAGTATAAGAATAAGGTGACATTTTTGAAGCTTCTTATTCACTATTTGTTGACTAGGTTCCTCAGGTCAATGACTATTTGTGTTTACAGGAAGAAAAGCATGCCAAAAAGAAGATTTAAGTAAAGGTTACACCAGCACAAAAGCACCTAAGGGTGGAATAAGGCAATACTGCTTTTACACCATTAAACTTTCCATTCTTGGGGAGATGGAACAGGACTAAGTGAAGAAGAAATGTAAGAAATAAAGAAATAAAAACAAACAAAAACATAATGGTAGAAGGGACATGGGTTGGAAGGCAATTAAAAGGTGATTAGATGATAAATAGGCCAAAACTCTGGAATGGAACAGATGGAGTGAGGAATATGATGTAGGCCAGACACAGAAGAATGTCTGCCAACTCTAGGTCAGGAAATGCAGGATTGAAAGGTGAGATGATTAAACTACTCCTGAAGGCACAGAAAATCAAAACAAAAATAAAAACGGAGGAAACAAGACCTCTTGGCAATAAAAAACCTCCAGATGGTAACATTCCCTCTCCACTGAGATGCAGAATTCAAGATCTTCAATAAACAGAGTATTTGATGCTTCTGCATCCGCCATTGTTGCCATGTAATTCTCCTGTCTTCTGTCCCATGACTGCAAAGTTTCACATGTTGTCTGCAGGCAGCTTGCAGATATAAGACAGGGCTTTGTCGTTTTCAGTCAGTTTTGGTTAACAGCTCTCTTGGCAGACACGGATGAGCAATGTCTGCATATTCTGCCCTTTAACAGGATTCACTCTTTCAGGGCATGCAAATACTAGCTTACAGGTGCCTCAGCTGCCTGCAAAATACATTACCATCAGCAAAGCATTCACTTACATAGTCTCATCAGAGGTCCACAGCTCCTTAATTTTCCAAAGCAAACCATCTCAACAGGAGCCATACCTTTATTGGTATAAACTCTAAACATTCCATGTCTCCTAACGACAACAAAAGCAGTTTTAAAAAGTAAAAATAAAAATCCAGATGTCAAACCAGGAGAACAAAGTCACCTGTCAGTTCAGAGATTTGACTGAAAACTTTTAAGAAGATCCTAGACCTTTAATCTTCTAGCAGAGATTACCTTCTCTCTAATTCCTCCAGGACAAGTTGTCATTTTAAAACCAGATAACAGTCTAAGAACTGACAAGTCATTGACATGCAGCATGCTAACATTTGCAAAAGGTTGTTCATTTGACCTGCATCACTGTTTAACCTTTAGCCCTATTGTTCCATTGAGGGTGATGGGCACAATTCTCCATGGGACCACAGACTGCACAGAAAGGAACTTTTTTCCTACTCCTGCTAGACGGAATTTTCACTAGACAATGGGCTTTAGTGATGACATCCAGGCTGACTGTCCACGGAAAAAAGCCTTGCAAAAGAACTGTGAGTTTGTTTAAGCAAGAAAAGCCAAGAGTTAGACCATTTCAAAGAATGTAATTATTTTTATGCACCTGTACTTCCTGTTCAATATAATAAAAATAATGTCTTGTTAAAATGCCTAATATTCCTGTAAATACAAGGCCAAGGTTCAAAGCCTAAGAGTATGAAGCATTTAAAGCACTAACCTAAAACTCAGCTTCTTCCACTGACTGCTGCAATCCTTATACAAAGGGTGGGAGAATTCGATCATATCATCTCCTTGAGTTCTGATGCAATCCAACAAATGCAAAGAAAGCAAGCTATGCAACAGAAGTGACCAATCATGCAAGTGTAATGACAAAAAATTTAACTTTGCTCAAAAATGTCTAAGAGAGCCTGGAAGCTACACTAAAAGGAAAAATCTATCACAGATGTGTTTCCCAACTAACGCTAAAATACTAATCTGTGTTTAATTGAGGACAAAGGAAAAAAACAATCTAGTGATACTGCTTTCTTCATCAATATCAGAGTTCAACAAGGCAACATTTTTAGAGACTCTAAGAACATACAACCTGCTCCCAGTGATTGTCCATTTCTTTTTTCTTACCACTAAAACTCAGTCTTACAAAAAATAAAAGTCCATCCAAACATCTTAAAATAACACTGAAGGCAACATCATAAAGACACAGCCCTCATTTCCGAAATCCAAAACTAAATCTCAATTCACAACTACAAATGCTGCCATACTTTATAACTGCACTTTAAAAGCGCATTTCATTTCACAATAAATTGATTTTCAGATTAGATAAAAAAATCAGTCAGTACCTAACTCTGGTATTAAAGTTCCAAATCCATAACTCTAAGAACATTTTCATTATTGGATGCATTATATAACACAACACAAAGTTTACTGCTGTTTCAAGTAATTACTTCCATTTTTTCACTGAAAATAACTAAGTCTACAAGGAAAACACTCATTTTTTCTGGTATAATTAAAAGTTTGAGCCACATTTTCTGCTATGAAATATAGCACTGAGGCTCCTGGCCTTTTGAGTAATCTTCCTACAGTCCACACAATCTAACACACATTTACTGATAAATGATTTTCATAAAAAGAATGGAATGGAATGTTTTAACTCAGATCATAGAAAGAAATGCTGGAGGGAGGCTGTGAAAAAGAGGTCTAGAGGATTCTCTTTTGTGAAGTTCAAACTGCATCCTGAGAACATGTTTCAAAAATTAAAGCTTTTCATAACAAAATTAAGATGTGATGAAGTACACTTGATTCTTTTCCTGATGCCAAGCTATATTGAGAAAAAAAATTATAAACCAACCAAACAAACAAAAAAAACCCCCTCCAAATTATACTCCAAAAGTTTTGATGAAATCTCTTCTGGCCAGGTATGGGTTTTCCACTTTTTCAGTCTTGAATATGCTGGTGCCAAGGGTCATCATATCTGAGACCAAGGACTGCTATCTCCATTGATCTTTGAAAACAATGAACCTTGAGGGTGACTTAAGAAGCCACATCTCAGTGAAATACACTGAGAAGAAAGTAGGGAAGAAACCCAGGCTTAAAAAAACCAGAGCTTTTCTGAGACCACTCAAGGGTATACATCTTCAAGGATCTTGTGATGGTTTAACCCAAGCCAGCAACTAAGCACTAAAAAGCTGCTCATTATAGTCAAGAATGGAAGGATCCTGTTAGATCCTTTCTAAAGATGAAAGGATCCAACCCTTCTTGAAAAAGAAAAGAAAAATATCTAATTGAACATAAGGAAAAGATCTACCCAAGCAGGTCCCACTTGTCATTCTTTTATGATCCATTCAGCAGCACCTGTCTCTGGAGAGGGATTGATGGATATGAACAGACTTAAAGGACAGGAGTTCCTTGTCTTCCTGCAGACCTTGCTGTCCTGTACACAGAGTTGGCAAACCCTCTTGAGACATTCATCATTGATGCAAGAGGAAGTCAGCTCGCTTTTTCAGCTATACTGATGAGGTATTCATCACAACGTTTGTTGCTATAGTTGCAGAGATGACTGAATAAAAATAGGATAAAGATCCTTTGGGCAAAACAATACTATTTTTAAATAGTCTTTTTTCAGAATAGGGCAATGCTTCAATAGACTGGACTATTGTTTATAGTCTATTCTTATCATACATAATGAAAAATTCACGAAGTTATGATGAATATGAAAATGTGATCCCTTTTTCATTACCCTAAGGAAGTGTCACAGGAATATACTCATCAAGTTCACAGAAGTAATGAAATGAAAAAAGTATTTTGAGGTGAGTAAGAGCAACAGTAATTCTTAGTTTATATATTGATCTTTTGAGAATATATTTTTACAAACACTGTTCTTTTGAGCAGATATAGATTTGAAATCTATGTTGAACCAGTAATTATTTCTCTTAAGTAGTGCCAGTAGTGCCTTAGATAAAACTCCACATCAATGCTGGTACTGCTACCTAAAACTCCTTACAGTTATCATAGGGCATACAAAAAATTCTCAAATATTGACAGAAAACTTCTTGCTTATTGAAAACAATGATCAGATTTCAGGCCTCTTAAGAAGCTTTCTGTTTTAAGAGTAGTAAAAAAAACATATTTCACTATGTAAGACTGATTTAAATGAGGACAAAAATACCCTATAATGTACGTTATACAAAAAGAAAAACGTGTAACCTCAACTCCAAAAAGTTTAAGGCTTCAGTGTCTGTCATGATTGACACATAAAACACTCACCTCAAACCAACCAAAAAAAAAAAAAAATCCAAGGAAAAAACACCAAAGAAGTCATACACTAAATATCCCAATGAATTAAAAGTGTATAGATATTTGTATCTCAAAGATGCTTTTAAGGTGGTGGTAACACATTAGGGTAAAAAAATATGACTGAACTGCATTTGAAACACAATCATCTCAAATGCAGATTGCAATGTCCTTAAAGTTTTACCTGGTACTTCAGATTTAGTGATAATTTCAAAAACTGTATTCTAAAAGCCTGTGATAAGTAATTAAAAAAAAAAAAACACAACACTTTTCAGGATATCCCAAGCTGCCAATCACACCACAACAATTGCTGAATATTTGGCTAGCAGAGGAATTCACTGGAAGACACAACAAAAATGCTGAGGGAAAACCTACACCTACCACTGTTTTACTGCCTCCAGTACCAAAACATAAAACAACTGAAATCAAGCTTACCTTTCTGGAAGTGTAGATGTCAAAAAATGGTTTGTTTCGAACACTGAACGGTTCCTGTGCTTTGTCAATGAGACCACTTTTCATCTTTTCATGTCGTGGAAATATAATCTCTTTCTCTATACATGCAAGTCGAACATTAAAATCACAGTCTCCAACAGGCTGTCCCTGCCAAGTTATAAGAATCAGTATCAAAAATCAAACACCAAATTATTTGAACAATCTAAGTTTTTTTAACACAATATTTAGAATCCTACAGATACATAGAAATATTATCAAATTACTAACTTTTTCCCAAATGTGCTGTTTTCAAGCATTTTTTCTCAGGCTTTAAGAGCTTTAACCAAATCAAAGTTCACAGAAAGCTAGAAACCTGTAATACACATTCAAGCATGCATGAATTAAACACCTAAATACTTTTAAAGTTAAGTAAAAAAATTTAAATACTCCCTAATTAGAGCTTTTATATGGCAGCTATAGTTCTCCACATAGCTTCCCTCTGAAGTAATTTGGATCATTTTGTTCACAATACTTTTAATGACAAAGCAACAAGATTTACACATTTAAGTGAACTCTTTGCTCCGAGTGCAGTATATTGATGCCTTGAAAGAAACATTAATTAATGTTCATTTTTCTGTCATAGAAAAGAGAAAAATAGGTGCAGTTGGAAAATGTGCCAATAAACAACAGCTACAAAAACCTGCAAGATATTTGATGGCTCAGTCACAAAAAGGCAGTAAAACCCTTTGCTAAGCCTCAGCAGCATGCCCTGACCTTTCAAGATCTGAAATAAAACAGCAGCTTTACATTGCTCTTTCTACATTTGGTGCATTGCACCAGATCAGTATGAGAGTTCAAAATGCACATTTGTCAGATTAGAAACGGCTTGTAAAGGAGTTTATCTTCTTCTGAGCATTAGATAGTGAGGAAAACACGCTATGGATATCACTAGAACAAAACAAGCAACTGTCAACTAATAAATTCTACAGCTCATTTCAATCTGAGGTGTCACTTTCACAGCAAGAGACACAAAACTTGTAGATTTGCATTGTTACAAGTGTGATACAGCACTGAAAGTTATTTACATGAGATCATCCCTCATTTTGTCACTCCATTCACACAAGAAAATAATTTTCAAAACCCATTCCTTTCACGGCCTACAGGGAATAAACTCACAGAGCCCTGGCTTGCAAACCAGAACTCTTCAAAAATTGAAAGCAATGAGCAAAGGAAACTGGGAAGACATGGGACTCAAATCATCAACGGCAGCAGTATAACTAAGCAGAAGAACCTGCTACCAGGTATCTCCTGTACCAAAGGCAGCTTGAAGGAAAAAAAGCACTGCTCCAACATGCATCAGAGAGGATCTGAACTGTTCAATTGGAAAGACAGCCAAAAAAATAAATGGCAAAATGACATTCTGATGAGGCACACAAAAGTAAGAGAGCAAGTAGTACCAGAACAGGTATCTCAATCAGGAGAAAAACATAACACCAGTTTTAGACCAATATGAATTTCATCAGTTCTTTCCAAAATCATATGGGCTTTCACCAAAATCTTTGACATTTCGTGCTCCCAAAGCAGCATTAAGTTCGTCTTATATTTCTTTGCTAGCATTAGAACCTACTAGACCTCTATCAAAGGTCCTCAGCTGTTCATGGCAACAGCTTTAAGAATTATGCATTGCTCCCATACCACATGTAACTCACAATAACTTCCTTTTAGGACTCTGCTTCAGTCTACATGAGAACAGGTAGCACAGCCACCATCACTCTGTGGGAAGCACATCTTGTGCAAAGCCTGTGGCAGACACCATGGGTGAAATGTCTAATCTCTGTTCACTGATCCATGCTTGTGAAGAAGAAAGCTCAGATGGCTGTTAACGTTGCCCTCAGCATTGTCTTCCTTTCAAACACAAAGGTTTTATCAGTAAAGAGCCATTCAAATGAATAGAAAATTAAGAGTATGGAAAAATCCAAGGGGCAGGAGAGTGGTTCACTCTTTATTCATTTCTCACAGAATACAGATGCATGATCTACAGATTTTTAAGTGCCACAGAAAAAATGCTAGAAAATCAATCAATCAATCAATCAATCAATCAATCAATCAATCAATCAATCAATCAATCTTTCCTTCCTTCTTTTTTCCTTCCTTGCTTTCTCGCCCCATTTATAGCATACTTGAGTACTCATCTATACAGTGACTGAGCTTGTCCTGGTTTGTACATGTAATTAATTAAAACACATCTCAACCCCTGTAACAGCTGACTGAACAACTGATTGAAGAATTCTTTCCTGGGAAATGTGTATATATATTTTTTATAACTTCAAAGAACCCCATAATTCTCTAGGTAGATTTCAGCAAGATCTAATGCACATGCTGTCTTCCCTATAGTACCTTTTCCACTCAGACACATTTTATTAGTAGGTCTGAAATAGCAAATTAACTAATTAATATTTCATACATTTGAGCTTTCAATAAGCCAGTAATCAGTTAGGTTATTTAGAAAGCTTTTTTTCAATGACTCCTTCAAAAAATGATTTTGTACAGTGATTTAAATTTATTTCCATGCCTGAACAGTTAAATTAAAAGCTGATGCAACTTCATATGCACCATAAACCAGCTGAATCACTTTCTTTTCCTTAAAATACTCCTTTCACTTTTCTCATCTACTTGGAACTAATTATTTCCTGCAGTTCTGCCAATCATATATTTCTATTTTAAAGCTTGTTAACTAGAGGGTATATTACAACTAGGTTCCATCAAATAAAGGTCAAAGCTAGGTTGACATAAGATTATATGAGAAAGGAAAACAGACAATGCTGCCAAGCTACTTCTTCATTAGACCAGTATACTAAGAAGTCAAAAAGTATTTAATTCTCACAAAAGCACAGGACATTAGCAATAAGAAAATTAGCACATAATTGAATTTAACTCAAGGACATACTGAATAAAAGCAATACTGAAGGAGAGTGGCTTTTTCTTTGTTATTAGAACATTTCCCATAATTACAAGAAATGCTGCTAATATACAATGCATTTATCCCAGACATAGTCAAAATCTGGAAGTGATAAAATTCTTTGCTTTTAGCAAATAAGTAGGAGGGTAATGTAGGCTGCAATAAATAATTCAGAGACCTTGACAAAACCAGGAAGAGATTCTTTAGTATATAAAGCACACATTTAAAAGTTGTCAAAAATCAAGACATTGATGCATGTATAATCTAAGCCCAGGCATTAAGTAATAGAACATTTTTAGGCAATACAGATGTTTTATTAACTCAAGCATTCAGATAATTAAATATGTAGCTTTTTACTTGTCTGAGAAGGATGAGGGTCACTACTGCTTGACAGCATAATTACTGAAATACATTAAAGGATAATGCCTGTTCTAGACATTTTTAACCTAAAATAAGTGTGTTAGCAAAGGAATGGCAAAACAAAATTAACAAGTAGCATGTATCTCCTACCTATGCTAGAAAGTTACACTTCCTGTAAATAAAATGTGTCCTAAAGCAAAATATCATTTAGATAAGCCTTAAGAGAAGAGTCATCTGTTGAATCAACACCTCTTCCCCAAGCAGCTGAGGAATTTATTTTCTTCACCTGTTGAAACTCTGTGCATTGCACTAAGGTCACAGCATGGAGTGGGCTTGCAAAATATGGTTTTGATGTTAAAACATCCTCCACACAACTTTGAAACATAAGATGAAATTTTTACTGAACTTGGAAATCCACCCAGGTCTCAAAATTTCTAAATTTAAACATAGGTTATTTCAAATTAACTTCTCAATAGAAATCATACATAACAAGCCACATAAGAATCAGAAAAAGAAATGGGTTTACACTGAGACACTGAAAAACAGGGTCTGCAGCTCATTTAATACCCATTGTCTTGAGCAGATAGGGGAAGGCAATTTATTTGCTGAATGGAGACTAGAAAAAAAAAAACAAAATAAAAAAATACTACTACCAAAAAAACCCCACCCACCCAACAAAACCAGTCCCTCTAACAATGCTTCAAATGGGTGCCAAAAGATGGAATTTGGACGAGGGCTGTGCTCCAGCCCTCCCCAGTTCACAGAGACCTCAGAGTGGAAATCACAAGGTCATGCTACAGCAGGTGACTAACTCTAATCCCAGGTCATTACATACAGCAAGATGGCAGGAGTCACTGAGATGGGAATAAAGAGGATAACGGGATTTCTGTTGCACATCCTGCCTCTCTCTCCACAAGGAGAAAGGTATCCCTGAGGATCTACCATCACCCTGCACGTTTAAGTTTCCCTTCCCCTGTGTCTCTAAGGTTACCTGGTGGCCACAGCTCAGTGAATTCCATAAGCCTTGCACAGAAAGTCACTGACCTAGATGGATGCAGTGAACACACCATGCTATACAGGCACTAAATTCCATACAAGTCCTTCATCTTTGACTTTGGTATTTATGTGCTTTTTTCTGCAATGCAGCGATAGCAAAAAGAAAAATAATGCCTAGTCCTCTGCACACAGCTGATAGCCAGCATGGTTTGGGATAAACTGAGAATATTTATTCCTTTCCTCCATGAAAGATGGCTGAAGCCTACCCACCAGCAAAGCATGCTCCATTTGCTTCTCCAGAGCAGTACCTGAGACATGAATAATTCAGCACACACACACAGAGATATACGTTCCATGCATGTCTTCACTTACTGAGCCAGAGCGGAACATATGTCACAACTGTCTTAGCTTTAATGATTTTGAGAGAAGAATAAAGAATACGCTCAGCCTGATATTCTACCCTATGTTTAACGTTATTATTGCCAATTCAAGGCACCCACAGCTGACATCTGCATTCCCAATGAAAGCCCATTATTAGTTCTCCCAATTTCTGAAGACCACGCAGTCTAATATTTTGCAATTTATATTAATGATCTGGCACATAATTCTTCTGACCATGGTTTTATAGATGGTACTTTTTTGTACACACGGTTTTATATAAAAACAATCTAAAGGTGCAATTTGAGTTTCCAAATAAGATTATTACTACATTCAATACCTAAAAGGCTTTTTTCATTTCCTATAAAGTTTTCTTTTTCAAGCAGGAATAAAAGTAAAGCATTAGAGAGATGAAAAATTTTATAGAATTATGACCCTTAAGTTTTTTCTTTCTAAATGCCAAAAGACTTGACAA